TTAAAACTTTTTAAATCCCGAGTTTTAATAATATTTTTCAAGGTTTATTTCTTTTCTTTTTAAATAAAAGCCAGTATCTCCAGTAAGAATAGGAAAATTTTTAGTTTCCAAATTTCAAAGGTATATGCATCCAATTAAATTAGAATTGTTCTTATAGTTGCTCTTTTCCCCTAGGTCAGTGATGGCGAACTTTTTAGAGACCGAGTACCCAAACTGCAACCCAAAACCCACTTATGTATTGTCGGGTGCCGGGTGGGCGTAGCCCATTGGGTAGGTGTGGCTGCAGTGGTCACTGCAGACTGGGTGGGTATGGTCAGGGTGGGCATGGCCACCTCAATGTTGCTCGTGGGGAGGGACACCTATGGGGGCCAGGCAGGGTTGGGGGTGATCCAGGGGGTCTCTGGCAGTGGGATGGTGGGCAGGAGGCTCATCCTGTGGGGTGAGGCAGGGTAGGGGTACCATTGCTCAGGGCAAGGCGAGGCAGGGGCCAGGGCGGCTGCTGCCTGACACCATCGGCCCCCGCACACAGCGAGCACATGGGGGCCAACTGTGTCCATCAGCAGCCACAGCCTGCCAGCTCCTCGGTGTCGCACCCAATGCGGCTGCCATGAGGCCGTGGAACAAGCCAGGTGGAGGTAAGGAACTGGTATATCAGTTTCTTACTGCCGCCCAGCTTGTTCCGTGGCCTCCTGGTAGCGGCACTGGGCAGGAGGCAGCAAACAGCAGGTTTCGGTGTGACGCGGCTGTTTGCTGCCTTGCGTATTGTGCCCAATGCTGCTGCAATGCGGCTCGGCCGAAAGCAGCTGTGGAACAAGTGGGGCAGGTTTCCCCCTCACCTACCCATTCAGAAGTTGGAATTGATCGACCTTTTTCCCTCCCAAAAAACTTTCTTTGTTTCCTTGCACGCGGCTGTGGATTGCGAAGGAGAAACAGCATGGGGCTGGAAATCAGGTAAGGAAAGAAAGGCAATTTCTAGGGGGAGCGAGGATTTCTTTCCTTACCTGCTCCACTTGTTCTGAGGCCGCTTTCCGCTCATACGCATTGCTCTTGCCAATGGCACGACTGGCCACTTCAGCGCTCTCCCTCCCTCCCTGAGCCTCCAGTGCTCCACCTGCTGCTTTGGTCAGCCTGCGGGCCCCCACAACAGCCTGCCCACCGCCACCCAGCACGGCTGCCCCGGGGCTGGCCTGGCATGGGAAGGGCACGATCCTCACCCTCCCGCCACCATGCAGGGTAAGGTTGCCATCCCATCCCCACCCAGATGCCCTCGCCTCCCCCAAGTGTTTTTTTACTAACCTGCCTTTCAGCTGCATTCCATTTCTCTGTTCGCTTCTCAGCCTTTGCCGTGTGTTTATGGGACTATGGGCTAAAAAAAAAGTTCCATCAGACTTTCTAACTTCTTGCGATCTTGCGAGAAGTTAGAAAGTCTGATGGAACTTTTTTTTTTAACCGATAGTCCCACAAACACGTGGCAAAGGCTGAGAATGGAGAAAAGGAATGCAGCTGAAAGGCAGGTTAGTAAAAAACGCTTGGGGAGGCGGGGGTGGGCGCAGCAATCTTACCCTGTGTGGGTATTGATGCAGGTTGCTCATGGATGGGACGGAAGGCCTAGAACTGGGGTGACGGCATGCGTGCCCACAGAGAGGGCTCTGCATGCCACCTGTGGCATGCATGCCATAGGTTCACCACCATGGCCCTAGGTAGTCAATCGCTGCTGTTCTGAGAGGCTGGGGTAAGAATTCCCTTCCCTCTTTCCTCATAGGGTGAGAAATACTTTGGGCAGCTTTTGCAGGAAAAGTATTTAAAGTCTTAAAGAGAAGATCAGATCTCAGCCAGTTTAATCCACATTGCTTTAAAGGTGCTTGGTTGTAGTTTTGACTTCAGCTGTCAGCAGCTTAATGACAAGCCATATTGCTATGGCTGGTCTTTTTTCCACCAGTTTGGAGAGCTGCCCCGGAGCAAGCAGAAGAGCTCCCGCCCTTCCGCGATCAAGGGGGGGTTCCTCTCCTTGCTCATTGCCCCTACAGGGCAACTTTTGACTCTTTCCAGGGTCCCCCAGCGGGATAAAACCGGACACTGAAGACGGAGCTCACCTCCATGCATCCGTCAGCACTGCGATGACAAACTGGAAGACCCAGCAGACAGACATGTTTTATCCAATATGCTACTCAGTTTAATTATAAATATGTCAAATGAAACTAAAATAAATATACTTTTTGTCTAGCAAACATAGAGAATTTAATATATTCAAATATGGAAAAGCAAAAAGCAAAGTTAGGAAGACTATAAAGGTGAATTTTTCTTTCCTTCACTCCTTTTCTCTTTATGCCATCTTCCCAGATGCCACCTTGCTCTAATCCTACAATGGAATCCATATGTAAAAGCGAACCTCTGCATGCATATAATTTATTTGACCAGAAGCCACAATACTTAATTGAATATACTACCACGGTGGTGGCGAACCTATGGCACGCGTGCCCTGTGGGCACGCACGCCATCACCCTGGAGGGAGGCGGGGCCAGACTGCTCCCTTCCACCTCTCCATGTGCGCCTGCGCTCTCGGCTCTCTTTCTCTCTGCACTGAGAGCCCGGGCTGGATGGTGGAAAAGGCCTCTATCGCCTGGATCGGCGGTCAGGGGGCACAAAATCCCCCACCCGCCGCGCGGATCACCCTGCCGCCGTTTCCCCCCACCAAACGTGCAGATTGCATTGCCGCCGTTCTCCCCCCGCCACATTTTCCAGGCCTCCGGCACCCGCATTGAGCCACTGAAGTGCCATAAAATCGCTCCACAGTCATGGATGCGAGTTCCAGAGACTTCGAAAACACTTCTGCTGCCCAGATCGGCCATGGGGTGTGTGTGTGAAATCGCTCTGCAGCCCTAGATCTGGGCAGAAGCAGCAGAGAGAAAGAAAGATTGAGCCAGCAGGAAAGCAAAAGTGACGGGAAAGGAAAGCATTGCAGAGTAAGCAAACTTACAAAAAGGGGATCTCTCTCTCTCTCTCTCACACACACACACACACCACCCCCTTATTAATCATTTCTTCCCCCACCCCCTTTAATATCATGTTTGGAGTTTGGGAAGGCGCATGTCCTACGCTCATCTTCCCAAACTCCAAACTTGCGTGTCCTACTTTCCTAGCTTGCTTCTCAAACTCCAAATTCGCGCATCCTACGCTCGCCTTCCAAAACTCGCGCGCGCGTCCTATTTTTCTCATCCTACTCCAGTTTGGAGTTTGGGAAGGCGAGCGAGGAAAGTAGGACGTGTGAGTTTGGAGTTTGGGAAGGCGAGCAGAGCCTTAACATAAAAGGCTAGTTCTGCTTTCAAAAAAAGAGAAAGGAGGGAAGATTATTGGGCTCCTTGCATCATTCCCGCTTGAAGCCATCCTTTGCAACAAGGAAAAATCCAATCTATCCAATGCTACCCAACATTTCAAATCTGTGTGCACCGAGAGGACAGCTATTTTTAAGACAGTCCTGCACATCTATATCTAGGAATAAATCTCATTAAACTCATGAGGCTGTGAAACACAGAATACAAACACACACACACACTCTGACATGAATTCACTGAATGACTGCCGGAGACCCTCAGATCTAGCCCAGTCCTGCACAGGCCCGCACAAGTGCCCCTGACGCGAGTGACAGCGAGCTGGGCACACCCACCTAGTCGGCCACGCCCATGCCAACCACGCCCACCCAGTCAGCCACGCCCATCCGGCACCCGACGATAAATAACTGGGGTTTGGGTTGCAGTTTGGGCACTCGGTCTCTAAAAGGTTCGCCATCACTGTACTACCATATTCACAGCATTGCTTAATGTATATTGATATAGAGATGAAAATCTGAATGCAGTGTAGAATTGATTTATATTTGAGTTTCTTGATACAACACGATATAAATGAACCAATTTACAATGGAATACTTAGCTTCACCAGGCTAGGTGTTTTGTTTTAGTTATTAAATTTATATGCCACTTACTTCGCTATCCAAAGAGAGTTTGGTAAGATACCAATTGTCCTTATGATGATGATGTAAGGCAAGCAGAGCCTGAATATAGGAGTATTGCTAGATTTTATCTTAATACTGCCAGTTCAAAAATAGTGGTTATCTTTCTACTAGAAATGCTCAGACTGTAGGGTTCACTAGTTCTCTGATAGGAAAACACCTAAGACCCAGAAAAGGGTGGCACTTTAGCCTTCTTGCCCCTCCACTTCCCGAAACCCTTAGGAAAGACGGAGCTATTTGGCCCAGATGGAACAAATAAATGCCAACAACTACCCAGTACAGCATGGAATCATAACTAGATGATTGATTGATCGATTGATTTTAGAACTGAAAAAAGTATAAGCAATAAGATTATCCATAGACATTTTTGAAATTATGAAGGATCCCTAAGAATATGCACAACTTTTAATATTTGTAGGATTCAACACTTCAGCAAGGCTGGCAGAAGATATACTTTAAAAACTAAAACTTATAAAAAGTTAAACAAAGCAATAAAGTTTGGTGACCTCCATATACTCAGACTTGATACAAAGTCTTGTTGAAGAAAACCTGAGAGGAGAAGATCTAATTTTCTCCACTAAAGGATGCAGTGGGTCGGATCCAGGCTATTGTATGCAGTTCCCATTGAAATGAATGGAAATTATTTCTGCCTAACCATATTTCACTGCTATCAGTGGGATTTACATGTATCTTACTCCAGATCCAATCATCTTAGAATACTGTAAGACAGCTTAGAAGGAAGTATCTGGACTCTTGTGTAACAAAATGAGTGAATACTGTACACTTATTAAACAAAAAAAAAAATCAATTTATTTATTTATTTATTTATTTATTTATTATTTGAATTTATACCCCGCCCTTCTCCTTGCGGACTCAGGGCGGCTGACAGCCTGATAAAAACAACTACAAAAATACCCCAAAAACTATCATTAAAACAAAGTTAAGATTATCGGGCAAATGATCTTGACAGAAAATGCAAGAAGCTAATACTTACTCAAAGATTTTTCCTAGCTGATCAACATCAGAGTTTCCACGGAAAAGTGGCCTAAAAAAAAAAAAAGAGCACACACATTTTCAGTCCAGTAATTAAAATATATTTGAAGATCATCCATCCAGCATTCTCCCATGTTTTCCAATACTAGTTACTTCAGTTTCTTCAATTCCTCACTGTCCCAAAGCACACATTTTGAACCTCGTCCAATGCCTCCTGCTCCCAGAGTTCAGTACTGAACTTTTAGACAGCTGCTTTTCAGCCAACTTCTACCACCTGGTGACAGAAAAAAAATCAGCATGTTCACTGAGGTAGAAAAAAAATCCTTGTTTACTATATCCCCCCTAAAAAGAGGTTTTGAAGTGTGTTTTTTTAAAAAAGTCATTTGGTGCATGTATTTCTCTGTGACAATTACAAATACTTTGGGTTAATTTGATGGATGTTGGTTACTGAAACCACAGGCACAAAACTCCAGGTTAATTTGAGGAAACTCCCCAAGTTCTGCAGTTAAGAAAGCCCTTGTATTAAATTGGCAATTTTGCAAGACTCATACTAGTTCTTGAAGAATTATTAATCCTGAGCCAGGCATGAATAACAAAGCATTTTCAACAGATTAACTCACTGGAAACCACCTCACAGCATGACAAAATCTAGCAAATATGTTACATAGGAAAGGGAAATTCATGTTTAACAAAAAACATTTCTAATCCAAACAAGAGCCATGAGAGAAACTCTAGAATTGCCAATACAGCAGCCTTAAATTCTAGTCTGAAAGGCAGATATGGAAACCAAAAGAAATTAACCTCTAAAGTTAATGTTGGGTAATTAACCTCCACAGTCAAATGTCGAGTAGCTATATGTCATGAGATTTCCAAAATTCTGTATGAGAGGGCAACTGAAGAAAATAAAACATCACCAGTTTACTTAGATACCTTGATTAAACATCTGCTTGTGATATATAACTCTGAAACTTTTTTTTTATTTCTTTCAAGGAATGCCAGAACCTATATTATTACATATTGGGATACATAGAACAACTCAGAATCCAAAGCCTAATAAAACACCTCTCTATAAAAATTTATAAATCAAAAGCTTATAAAAGTAACTTTTTCTACTGAGAAATAACAATTCTCATTTGCTATGGTATTGAAAAAGCATATTGCTAAGTAGTAAGGTCAAACAAGCAGGTTTATTCCACCACCATCCCACCCCATTTAGAAAAAAGGTGGGGGTGGGGGAGAAGGAAGGAAGTGGTCATGTTAAGAAAAGACATAAAATCATTCATGATTTTCATTTGATGGAAGTCCGAAGGAATGTAGCAGCCATGCTGATGCATGAGCTATCAGTTTTCAAAATTACACACACACATATATATATATATACACGTATATATTGNTATATATATATATATATATATGTAGGTCTTTGCTCATTCGGGTTCTCTCCCGCGTAAAATTGGAAGAGAACCCGAATGAGCAAAGACCTACATACAAACACCCGCAAAAACCTCAGAAAACAAATATATATATATATATAAATGTAAATGTTCGTTTGTTCAAAATCTTAAATCTCCGAAAGTTCTTCACCGATTGCTTTGAAATTTTGACACAACGTTGCATTCGAATACGCACGTGTTTTTATATACCTACTATTATATAGATGTCACACCTGTGACAGGTAAAAACATGCTTTTTTGAAAAACAGCGCCATCTGTTGGACGTAAAAGCATACCCACAAGCATTGTGAAATTAAACATATTACAAACGTGCACTTTCTCTTTTCTTTCTTTTCCATTTAACCAGACTGAGCCACAGCAACGCATGGCCGGGTACAGCTAGTATATATATATATATATAATGGGAGGAAGAAATCTTTGGGCTGACAGGGTGCATCAAAAAAAACCCCAAACACTCATGATAAATCTCCTCCCCTGGTCTCTTCCCTCCCTAATACATGTGACAAATGAGAAAGAGCCTGTGGCTTAGGGTCAACACAGCTGCCTAACGTGCAAGCAGCCCAGGTTCGAATCTCAGAAGGGTATGGAAAGTCCTAGAAGCAGACAATGGATGGAGACTAATCAAGGAGAGAAGCAACCTGGAATTAAGGAAAAACTTCCTAACAGTGAGGACAATTAATCAGTGGAACAGCTTGCCTTGAGAAGTTGTACTCTTCATTATGCAGGTTTTAAAGAAAAGACTGGACAGCCATTTGCCTGAAATGGTATAGTCTAGTCCAGGGACTAGAAGACCTCCCAGCTCCCTTTCAGATTCTATTCTGTTCTGTTTTGTTCGCCTCTACTCTACTCTATTCATAGCATGAAGGACTGAACCTGAAACTTTCTGTAAGCAAAACATGTGGTCTCTGCTGAACCGCCAAGCTCCAGACAGAGTTTAAAAATTAAGCATAAAGATTAAAATAAAAACGAGAGAGAAAAAAACTAAACTAAAAATAACTTGAATTGAAATCTGGTTAAAATCTAATCCCGCTTTTTTTAAAAAAGGTAAATAATAGAATAATGCAAGCAGCTGTCATCATTTCTGTTTTCTATATTCGTAATTAAGGATTAATATTGACCAATAGGATCACTTTGACCAAATTTTTATTATAAACACCAAGCAGTAAAGTTCTGTCAATGAAAAAAAATACTGGTTCCAGCAATTAATTTTAATGTGAATGGTAAGAAAATAGAATTTCTTTACAAATGCTAACCTTACCAGGAATAGGTAAGAGAGGAATACCTATTTTAATTCCAAATTGCAGAACTACTAAATGAGTATGTGTGTATCTATGTCATTTTGTGGCAATACATTTAATATATACATGCACACACAAATAGATACTTTATTGGTGTCATATGTAACATAAAGATATGCATACCAAACAAGATTAAGAAAATATTGTATATTTATGTAATCTTAAAAGTAGGACAATGTTTTCCTGTGTAAATAAACAGCAGCTGAAAATTTTTTGCAATTCTTCTAAAGATGTTACGGTTCTAGTCATACAGTAAAAAGCAAATACAATCATTCACAGATTTTTTAAAAATAAATCTATAGGAATAGGGTGCATACAAATAGACTTCACTTTTCAACAGAAATTGGCCCAGAATTTTCATCGCTTAGCAATGCAATTGTAAAACATTACAAGTAGTCCTCAACTTAGGACCACAATTGAGCCCAAAATTTATGTTGCTAAATGAGACATTTGTTAAGTGAATTTTGTCCCATTTTATGACCTTTCTCATCATAGTTATTAAGTGAATCACTGCAGTTGTTATGTTAATAACATGGTTGTTAAGTGAATCTGGCTTCCCCATTGACTGCTTGTCAGAAGGTAACAAAAGATGATCACATGATCCTGGGAAACTGTTACCATCATAAATATGAGTCAGTTGACAAGCAGTTGAATTTTGATCATGTGACCATGGGGATGCTGCAATGGTCATAAGTGTGAAAAATGGTAATAAGGCATTTTTTCAATGCTGCTGTAATTTTGAACTGACACTAAATGAACTGTTGTAAATTGAGGACTATCTATAGGTTATGTATCAATATGGCCTAGCAATAGTAATCCCAACAGTCCCTTGTTAAACCAGGATCACAAGTCATTAAGTAAGGATCTTCTTATAACTACTTGCTGACTTCCAACAACGAAAGTCAACGAGAAAACTGGCAGGAAGTTGCAATTCCTGGGCAGTTTGTGGAATGTGATGGAATTTTGCTTTAAAGTGGTAGCAATATTGACGGTTCAGATTACAAAATGGCTTCATTGGTTGGGAAAAAAGTAAATAAATTTGTTGATAATTGTTTATCTGTTTTTCTGATTTTGCTCATCCAATCCTGCTTCCACATTTTTATTTAAAAAATAATTAAAAGTGGTAAAATGGCTACATACTTTTGCATTTCTTTCCTGATTTATCCATCTCTATAAATCATTTTGCCTAAGTTATGTATTTTTCTTTTTTCAAATAATGATTCAGTAGGTTTTTTTCTTCAGATGGCAATACTATTTCCTAGGGCAGTTTTCAGAGTTAGCCACTAGTGGGCAGGGCAGAAACTGAAAAAAAGTGTCCAAATTACTTTATGGATGAATTAAAGCCAATACAAACATTTTCATTACACAAAAACACTAATGAAAACTAAGTACCAGAAGAGATCAAAGACACTCCTAAAAAGGGCTTTGCTTGGCCTACTGCCCAAAATGAACCATGAAGAAACAAGGTGAGTTTCCCTCTTCTTGAGTTTCCAAAATTCTACCTTTTTGGCATCTCAGCATAAAAATCTCCAGAGCTATCAAGCATTTGAAAAAGGAGTAGGAGACCTCCATTCTGTTTCTTTACCCTCTGAAGTCCCCTCAATCACACATCAACATCTGACATATTAATGTTCTGCTGATTTTCTCAGGACAATTGAAGTTTAGAGGTAAAGATATTTAGAGGTAAAGATAACCTCTAAAGAAGTTACTTATTACTTTAATAATAGAGCACCTCTTAAACGTCCCTTCTCATAATGAAAGAAAAACAACCCCAGGCTCCATATACCTCTCCTTGTAACCATAGCACATGGCTGCACTGCTCTGCTCTGCTCCCTGAAGCCTTGGCTGCAAAAAAGTTCCCTCTCTTATAGAATAAGCAAGCTGTATCATAGTAAGTATTGTATATGTAGATACTCAGACATTAACCTCAGAATTCAATAAATATCCATAATAGGGCTTAATTCATCTTTTCTCAACAGGAGAACCCTAGATTTGCTTTGAGGCATTGTAACTGAAATAAGTAAATTGCAGATTCGCAATCCTGGTGCTTACAATGGTGAGAATTATTACATGCTGCAATTCAACTGCAAGCCCGTGGATTTGCTGTTGTATAAAGACTATGTAGGTTAGAAGTGAACTATATTGTGAAGTGTTTGAATTTTTACTATTTTAATGCAGGGATTCCCTGAGACCTGAATATTGCTTCAATTATTGCTTAACCATTTATCCGTGTTGCATAAAAGGAAAAAAACATCCACACAATCCTGCCCTCTAATCCTTCCTATTCTTAGTCTTTGGCA